TATTATATATTTATTATATTTATTATATTCATTATATTTATTATTATGGTATTTTATATGACCTGGCTGTCACTAAACATTATGGTATTTGTCAGTTTGCTCCTGATATTAGTGCAAATAACTATGAAAATAAAGTAAAATATAATGGGCACAGAGCAATGGCAATTGTTGTTATATTATGGTTATTATGTGTCATCGAGTCACCTGAGACTCATAGCGACACTATGCACAACACCTCTGAATCCTGTTCTATCCTGAGCCAATCTCCATGTCTCTGATACACCTACCCCCATCCACCTAATCTCTGAATCAATCCATCTCATCTAAGGTCTTCCCCTCTTGGCCTTTCCTTCCACCCTTCTAAGCATGATGTCCTTCTCCAAGGACTGGTCTCTCCTGGCTACATGTTCTAAATATGTTGAAATGGAGTCTAAATCATTTCCTGCAAAGAGCAGTCTGGTTTAAACTCCAGGACATCCTACTAGTTCTCTTGGTGATTCATAGTGTTTTCAAGACTTTTTTCTAGCACTACAACTCAAAGACATCAATTCTTCTTCTGTCATCCTTACTCATTGTCCAGCTCTCTGATGCACAGAAACTAATTGTGATGACCGTGACCTGAATTAGGCAAACTTTAGTCTCTAGCTGACATTTTTATGCAGGCATATTTTTGCCAAAGTTGTTCTGCAGGAGAAAAGCTGGAAGAAAACAAGAGAACATATGTGTGTGAAGCTATATGGCAAACCTTATGAAGATCACACAGAAGCCAAAGTTTTGAAGAGACAAGGACTTCCCCTCCACAGTCAACACAATGAGAGATGCTTTCCACTGTGAATGTAAATTGATAACTTCCTGAACCACGTGAAAGTAAATTTTCGTTTGCTGAGGTCACGCAATGGTCGTATTTGTGTTACATCATCATTAAATAACTAAAGCAAAGGATATCAGTCATTTTGACCTCAGTAACATTTAATAAATCTTCCACTCAACAACAACATAAGACACATTAATATCTTCTCTGGTTTTTTCCCCCTTGAGCTCTCTCTGCTTTTTCTTTTTTAATTTTATTACTTTTGTGTGCGTGTACCGTCAAATCAGATCTGACTGGTACAGGAGGAGATTGTCCCTCCTTCCCCGGCAGAGCATCTGGTGGATTCAAACCATGCGCCCCTGGGATTGTTGTTGTAGCTCCTTGCCACTAGGCCACCAGAGCTCCCCTTCTCTCTGCTTTTTTTAAGACACACTCCTGTTATTAAATACTCAGCAAGCTAGAAACTATAATGAAAAAATGGACAGTAAGAGGAATGAGTAAATCAGAAAAAAATGTGATATATACATACATTGGAACAACAATGAGAAAACAACTAACTCATTACTTATAAGTGCAACATGACAATATAATCTCACCCATAATATGTATTATGTTTACTATTGTTATTAAAATAATATATCTTATATATTATATTTTAATTTCATCATACAATATAACTTCACAGATACAATTTATGATATATAGACTACATATGAGATATATATTAATACATATAGACATATATAACATATCTCCTTGATATTTGTCAATTGGATATCATATACTTAGTACAGAATTATTCTGATTACATAAAGTTGAAGAATGGTCAGCTCCAACCTCAAACTTACCAAATGATTCAGGGATTTGAATCTGAGTATTGACTCTGATAGAAATATTAATGCAGAATACATTATTTATTCCCTCTTTTCTGAGGTTCCCCCCAACCCCGATATCAGTCCCACTTTACAATAGTGGTACCATGCAGTATTTGTCCTTTTGTGACTGAGCTATTTCACTCAGCATAAAGTCCTCCAGCATCACCCATTTTGAATAATATTTCATGAGTTCTTTGTTTTTCATTGCAGCATAGTATTCAATTGTGTGAATATACCACAGCTCCTCTGTCCATTCGTTTGTTGATGGGTATGTGCTGTATTCTATAAATGTGTTTAAGGAAGAAAAGTTACAACTGTTTCTAATTTTAATTGTCACATGTACGCCATCTGTTACTCAGTGACCATTTAAATGACTCTTTTCCTATCTGTGAACTCTGGCTTGGAAATACTGCTTTGCCTCCAGGGTCCTCAGAAATCTGAAAAAATCAGACTAGACGTGACATTGACAGTGCCCTGCTACCAGGGAAAGTAGCCCATGTGCTAAAGATGAGAAATCACGAAGCAGAAATCAGACACTTTAATAATCCTGAAGATGGGAAGATATTAATGAAGAGCAAAGAAATTATTTCTGTAAATAATAACAACAACAACATCAATAATAATAATAATAATTTAAAAATCTATTTAATAGTGAAATTTCTTCTAACATGCACACGCCTATTTCTTTGATTGTGGAAATCCATATTTTAGTTAAAAGATTTCTCTCTATAAAGGGAAAGAGGACAAAGGAGTCGGTCCATTTCCGACGCAAAAAGAGGAAACTGAGAAAAGAGGGGATAAATCACTGGAACAGATGAAGGAAAATACTTGGAAAGAGAATATAGTTAGGCATTACTTGCATGACAGCAGACCAGAATGAGAGGTGCATAGAAAAGTGGACTTGGGGGGAGGTAGAGAGAGCAGGGAGAAAAATTATGCAACAATCAGTAAATTGGGTTTTTTTTTGTTTTTGTTTTTAATTTTTATTGTTGTTGTGTGTCGTCAAATAGGGTCCGACTGGCACCAAATGAGTTTGCCCCTCCTCCAGAGAAGCTTCTGGTGGATTCAAACCACATGCCTTTAGGATTGCAGGGCAGATTATTGCTACTAGAAGTTGGGTTTGTTTTTTTTTCAAGTGAACTATGAGGTTATGGATGAAAATGTGCAAAACTATCGTTAAAATCTCAATAAAAATTTAAACAACAAAAAAGGGGAGGGATGTAATTTGCACGGACAGAAGTTGGAGCGCTCCGTGTTTCCACACGGAGCTGTTTTCTTGAGGGACTGGACGGGGCGGAAGCGGAAATGCCAGCTGTCAGTTCGTCTCTTGCGCTGCTATCAGGTGTTCTCTCCCAGCGGGAAAAGGTGGGTTTCCATGGGTCATCATCGATCGGATCCACTCGCAGGTGACCACAGGCTTTGGCCTGGGTCCGAATGCTCTGGCCCCTCTGCTTCGCGCCCTCGCGATCGCTCCTGGAGCCTCCGGACTTGCTGTCGCTGGGAAATCGCTGCTGCAGCTGCTTGACTCCTGGGTCCCTCCGGCCCCTGCTGGACGCCGAGTGACCGCCGCATGTGCAGTCACGTCCCTTCGCAGGTGAGATCGCGGGAGGGGAGGGGTTCCTCGCGCAGCAAGGAAAGCATCGGAGCATATGGCGGTTTGTGGACGCTTCCCACTTCGAAGGACCATTCATTGCTAGTGATCGATCATGGATTGGCAGGCGGGAGTCAGAGGCGATCTGGGGATTTGGGAGGGCTCACACGGGATGGGATGCATGCTGTGTGTGGGGAGACAGGGCCGGGGCTTTCGGGTCTCTGGGGAATGACATCGTTTTATTGATCTATCAATAATTGATCGATAATCGTCCGCGACAAGAGCTTTGGGCGCATCTTGCTCCTGTTTCACCATAGCGGATGGAGAGACGCGTGGGGGACGGATTGTGAAATCCTGGACCCGCCAGAGCTCAGGGAACAGGATAGGAGGAGTGTCCCAAGGTGAAGGGTCAGGCTGCTGACCACAGGGTCACCAGTTTGAATCAATCCATCAGAGGCCTTTTCTGGGTGTGTGTGTGTGGGGAAATCCATGAAGTAGGCAATCTCCTGTTAAAATGCATATTTAATGGTGGATGGTCTCCAGGGGTCACAATAGAGGTCAGCATCCAGGCCAGAGAAAAGTGCTGTTTGGAAAAAAATTAAAAAACCGAACTATTTTTCCCGCCTCCTTCATCATTTTACAAAAGTTTATTCTTAAAACTGTACAACAGGCTCCATGACAACATTGCCTTTTAGCTACAAGTGTCCACAAAAGCTCCAACAGAGGATCCTGGTGTTGTTTTATTTTTTTATTATTTTTGTGTGCGTGTACCGTCAAATCAGATCTGACTGGTACAGGAGGAGATTGTCCCTCCTTCCCCGGCAGAGCATCTGGTGGATTCAAACTGTGCACCTCTGGGATTGTAGCTGCAGCTCCTTACCACTAGGCCTCTAGAGCTCCCTGATCCTGATGTTTTAAACAGACACAGAAGGAAGGTTCATCACTGCCTCATGCAGAAAGAACAGCTTATTTATTTACTTCTTCCTCTCCATATTTCTTGATTCCATCCATGGCTAGGAAACCTTTGCTCAAGACCTTCCCTTGTAGCTTCTCCAGTTTCTTCTGTTCTGCTTTTTCTTTCTGTTTGAAAGCTTTATCATTCTCATCCATTTCCTTGTGCAGCTCCTGGGGCTGTTTCAGGGGCTTCCTCTGTCCACCTTCATGGCCGCACATGGTCCTGGCAGCCAGCCGTCCCTTCCCCAGAAAAAAGCACGGGACACTCAAAACACTTGAACGCCTCAGACTCCCCTTTGAGAATTCTCTATTCACACAGGCGAGGGAGTGATGAATTGTGGTGTCCACTGAATGACACCTAACAGCAATATCATCTTTGCTGAAATGTTTTTTGAAACTCTGTGCCCCTTTTTCTAAAATAGTCGGTCAAGAGTTCTTTATCTAATCGGGATATTAAACCCTTATGAGGTATCTTGATTTCTAAATGTCACAAAAGCTGTAAAAATTCAGAATCTATGTTGCTGGAAACTAAATTTTCTGTTTGATAAAATCCACCCACCCACCCCCAATGTCATAAAAAAGCAACACTCAATCATCATGCTTATGAACTGAAAAAGGATTTCTTTTTAAATTGTTTGCTATGACTTGTGTGAAGGTTGAAAGAGCAACTGAGTTTTCCATTTCACAGCACACACATTATGTTTTGTGACATAAATTATAATCCCACAGTATTAATAACACACATCACACCTCCTTCCTTTGTTTCCTATTCCCATTCATCCATCTTCTCACTTCTCAGTGTCTATCCCTGGGCAGGTGTTGCCTTTCTGGAAAACGTAAATGTTTTCCACCAACAAGAATGATTTAAAAATGTGAGGGCGGCAACCGGTCAAAAGCAGGAACCTTCTGATATTCAGAAAAAAAACAACGTTGTCCTGTTGACTCTGGGCCCCTCACGTATCACCGTATTTTCTTTTATACCATATATAGGTCATATCTTCACTTTGTTGACAGAGTCCTTTGATGCATAAGGCTTTTCATGTATCCATTTTAGATGTGCTCACGGTTCTGACAACCCAAGTGAGAATTCTTTTTTGAAAAAAATTTAATGAAAGAAATTTATTTTAAAGAACTTGGATATCCATTCACTCATTACTGCACATTTCCCTCCCTGTCCCCCCTCCCTGAAAAAAAAATGTTTATTTTAATTGAGATTTTAACAAAAGGTTATAGAGAACATGGCTTCAGTCCGTGATGGTCAAATGCATCAGAAATAATAAGAAACTCTGCTGGTCATCTCTAGTTTGGTCTAGTGCTGAAGACCAAATAACGTGTTGTCATTAACACTGAAAGCCTTGTCACTAACATTTACACAACTGTGTCTTCTAGAAAAGGAAGGACAATCTCCTCCTGTACCAGTCATATCTGATTTAACAGTACACACACACACACACACGCAAATGACAGAGTGATGAGGGGGTCATCCTTTGTTTCTCAAAAGCTTAAGGACCTGGAGAGGTGTGGTTTGTGAATATAGGAGCCCACAGAGTATGTTGTTGTTGTGGTGTTTCATCAAGTCGCCTGCAACTCATGGCAACCCTGTGGACAGCAGCTCTGAAGCCTGCCGTATCCTGAGCCACTCTCACTAATTCTGACACATCAAACCCCACAACCCCAGTTATTGTGTCAAGCAATCTCACCCCTGGTCTTCCTCTCCTGTGCTGTCTCTCCACCCTTCTGTGCATGATGTCCTTCTCCAAGGCCCAGTCCCTCCTGGCCATGTGCTCAAAGTATGTGAGACAGAGCTTCCAAATCCTTGCCTCCATGGAGAAACTTGGTTTCACCCTCTCTAAGACAGACCGGTTTGTTTTCTTGGCAGTCTATGGTATGTTCAAGACTTCCCCAACACCCCAATTCTTCTTCTGTCATCTTTAGTCATTGTCCAGTTCTCTGAGGCATAGCAAGTTATTGCAAAGACCATGGCCTGAATCAGGCACACCTTAGTCTCCAGACTGACTTCGTTGCTCCTCAGTACTTTGGAGAAATCGCTGACAGCAGGATGCTCCAATGCAATTCCTCTTCTGATTTCCTGGCTACAGGTACCCAGAGTATTTAAAAATATAAGAAAGAATGATAAAAACAACCACCCTAATTGCAAGGCATCCAGAAAGAGGCCAACCCCATATTCCAATGCAAAAGAAGAATATTTCTTTAAAGCCCAAGAGAAGGGTGTTAAGAGAACATGAAGTACAAAAAAAATGAATGACGGGGTGGGGGGAGGGCTGGGTGGGGAGAGAAGTGCAGCAATGAATGAATGGAAATCCAAAATCTCTGTAAATGTTCATTCAAATTATTAAAAAAAAAAGAATGAAATCATGCATTTAGCACTTGGGGGAAAGAAATGTTTTTCCTGAAATCCGCCAGTGTTAATATCATAGTATTTTTGCTGATGTCTATCAGAACTACATAGTAGAATCCACAGTTGGACCAATTTAAACCCATGACCCCCTCCTAGAACTAAGGTTCATGTTTTCCAGCTCGGTGGCTTCAGAGGCACTGGGGTCAGCGGATTTGTCCGTCTGTGTTGTTGTTGGCAGAAAGTAGCTGTCCCCAGGAGATGCAGGAAGAAAGCGGGAGTGAGTGGGCTATTTAGACAGGAGTCTGCGTCTTCAGTGCAGACCATTTCTCTGAGCCTGCAAGGACCTCACACACACCCTGTTCCCTCACCTCTGTCTCCTCACCTTCTTCCATTTCAGATCCCAGGCGTACTAGGTACATGTGGTCATCAAATCTGGCCCGGACCTCCAGGGACCCAGGACCAGCATCTTCCACATCCGTGCATCCCAGGGAAAGACTTCAGCCTCTTCAGACAGTGTGTGGCTCCAGCGTCGTCCGTCAGCCTCCACACTGTCCCCAACTCTGTTTTCACTGCCACTTTCTGCCCCAAGCAGATTGGAAATGACATTCCCTCGGATTTCAAGAAGAAAAATGGTGAGTTTGATGGAAAACTGGGTTATTTTTTTATGATCCATGACTGAGGTGGGGTATGAATTGTTGAGGGATTTCACCCTGGGTGCTTTGAGGGGGAACTCTGGTTATAAAGAAAATAGGTGGCGTACCACAACAAGATAAAGGTAAATAATCCAATAGAAAAATGGGCACAGGATATGAACAGGCACTTCACCGAAGA